GATCTTTTTTTTATTGACTTTTATTGAGCTCTACATTTTTCTCTGCTCCCATCCCTGCCTCTTCACTCCCCCGGTCAGCCTTCCCCCAAGGAACCCATGCTCCGAATTTACTCAGGAGATCTTGTCATTTTATACTTTTCCCATGCATATTAGATCTATGTAAGTGTCTCTCAGTGTCCTCATTGTTGTCCAAGTTCTCTGGGATTGTGGATCGTAGGCTGGTTTTATTTGCTTTATGTTTAAAAACCACCTATGAATGAGTACCTGTGATAATTGTCTTTCTGTGTTTGGGTTACCTCACTCAGAATAATGTTTTCTAGCTCCATCCATTTTCCTGAAAAATTCAAGCTGTCATTATTTTTTTTCTGGTGTGTGTACTCCATTGTGTAAATGTACCACATTTCCCTTATCCATTCTTTGATTGAGGGGCATTTAGGTTGTTTCCAGGTTCTTGCTATGAAAAATAAAGCTGCTGTGAACATTGTGGAGCACGTGCCCTTGTGGCACGATTGAGCATCCTTCTCTGCTCCAAGGTGTTTCTAATTTGGTCAAGTGGACAAAAACTAACACTGTCTTCTTGGGAGCAGGGACAAGTATGTCTTAGACAGGTTCAGGTTTCTCTAATAACAAAGATGGGCAATTATCCTTGTTATTAAGGTTCAAGACCTTGGAAGAAAGAAGGTCCATCTTTGATGGGAAATGATAGCTTATGAAACAGTTGGGGAGCGTGGAAAGTCCACGATGAGTAGGCAGTGTTTGCCTCGAGGGCCAACATGAGCACAGTGTAGAAAGGACTAACCATGACGTCATTTGGCAGGGCTTGCTGTTTGGCTCGAAGGATGGCTCTAAGGATGCCATCCTTCTTCTAGAGGTAAAATGAAATTCATTTAATATGAATTTGAATTGAGTCCAAGTCTTTCATCTTTCCAATGGCTTCAAACACCACGACATAAGACTCCGGGACTATAGGGAACTCACACTGAACCTTGCATCCAGTGGACAGGGAAAGCTACCAAGAGGAGCGAGCATATGAAGAACAAAGGTAAAGAAAGGGAGTGCCATTAATTATCTTAGTTAGGTTTCTATTGTTGTGAAGAGACACCGTGACATGGCAACTCTTACAAAGGAAAAGCATTTAATTGGAGTGGATCCCGTACAATTCAGAGGTTCAGTTTATTACCGTCAAGGTGAGATATGGTGGTGTGCTGACAGACATAGTATTGGAGAAGAAGCTGAGAGTCCTACACCTTGTTGGCAACAGGAAGTTGTCTATGTATCACACTGAGTGAAGCTTGAGCATATGTGAGACCTCAAATTCTGCCTCCACAGTGACACTCTTTCAACAAGGACATACCTACTACAACAAAGCCACATCTGCTATTAGTGCCACTTCCTTCCAGGACCATTTTCTTTCAAATGACAGCAATTATTTCTCTATCAGATAAAACTTGGGACCAATAGATCTAAAAGATGGATGTTAATACTTTATAAGAGTATTTGGGACAAATAAAATTTAGAGATAGGCTGTACTATGTTGGTGCTTTGAAGGAGATTTTGAGGAACTTGAAATGGTGAGAAGCATTGCACCATGAGGCATGCCCCTGGACTCTGTGGAGCCCACAAGTGACCAACATGCAATAATGGAACACTGTGCCCACGAGGAGCCTGCCTAGATGGCCACGCTATATAAGGGAGTAAAAGACTCAGCATATTGAACTTTCCAATAGCCTACATTATCGAGCCCAAGTCCATGGACAGGGCTTATAGGAGAAGGCCCTGGGACAGAGAAATGTTAGCATGCATCCCAATCTTAGTAGTGCCGAGTACTATGGTCACTGTCGGGTGGGGCAGGAGCATTCAGATGCTGCTTGTTGTAGCCAATAGGTTTTCTGTCCCTACCCCCACAATAGATTTTACTCCTGACACGGTAAGCCAGATCAAACTGAACTGAAAAAGTCAACAGCAGGTGTATTTGAACAGAGCAACACCCAGGCAGGTTCTGTCGCAGAGATCGAGACCAGGGATGTCTCACCACTAAACTAAAGCGGGGGAGGTTTTATGGGTCATAGGTGAGAGGTGACAATGTGTCCACCACAAGCTGGATTTGTGCCCAAGTGTTTTCAAAAGCTTAGAGCTTAGGTGGGGACTTGAACAGCTGATAACTTCGGGGGAGGAAGTTGTGGTAATCACCAAGAATTTGGAACTGGATTTTTGGCAGGGTTTGGAGAGAGAGACAGGAATGGGGCCTTCTGGATCATGGAGGGGTGCATGGGAGGTTCCAACTGAACAGTAGCCTTCCTCTTAACAGTAGCACTGAGAGAGATATAAAGAAAAGTTCTTGGCAGTTTTAGATGCTGTGTTCTGGCTTTTGAACTACCTGCCTTAAGTAACTCTAGTGATTTGAACAGGAATGTTCCCATAGACTTATGATCTCCAATTCTTGGCCTATAGGAAGTGGTCCTATTAGGAGGTGTAGCCTTGTTGGAGTGGATCTAGCCTGTTGGAGGAAGTGTGTCACTGTGGGGGCTTTAAGGTCTCATATGCTCAAGCTATGCCCAGTGTGGTACAAAGTTCACTTCCTGTTGCTTTGGGGTCAAGATGTTGAACTCTCAGCCCTTTCTCCAATTCATGGTGCATGATGATAATGGACTAAACATCTGATACTGTAAGCCAGCCCCAATTAAATGTTTTTCTTTATAAGAGTTGCTGTGGTCATGGTGTCTCTACAGTAACAGAAACCCCAACTAAGATAATACTCAGCAATTTTACTCTAATAAACAAAAAAATCACAACAAAAAAATCCTTGTCATTAACTGAGTTATCTTAATAAAGATTCCTTAACTGAGATTACCAGAGCCTGAAAACTTGGAATTCAGACTTTGTAGCCTGGCTCTTAGAAACTACAGGGCACCTGACAGCTGGCCCTGAGGCAGAAAATGTCTTTACAAAGCAACTGGTTAAAAAAAAAATACAAGACTTGTAAAGGGACACGATGCTTAACCTTATAAAAACAAAACAAACCAAAACCAAAACAACACAAACCCCATTCACGATGTGGCTTGCACTGCAACTCTTGAGGAAGTGGTGGTGGGGATGAGGTGGGCATGGTACCTGTTGTGCATGTGGGAAAAATCTGCCTTTGCCATGATGGGTATCCACAGTGTCTCAAGACAGGCAATGCGCTCTTCGGACCTCTTGAGTATTCAAAAACTTTTATGATGAGCACAAAATAGTTGACAGTGTGGGCATTTCCTACAACTCACAATCCTAGGCTATGGCCAAATGTCCCCACAGATGTCTCAAACAATTAGAAAAACAAAAAGGGGAGAATTCCCTACTCCTACAAATCTGTAAATAAGGCCTTATATATATGACAAAATATGACCTCACTGCCACAAAATGGGACTGGTTGCTGGAAGACAGGGTAGTAAAACTTAAGATGCCAATACAAAGATGTCATGATAAAAAACATGATCGCTGAGTGTGGTGGCACACGCCTTTAATCCCAGCACTCAGGAGGTAGAGGACAGGCGGAGCTCTGAGTTTGAGGCCAGCCTGGTCTACAGAGTGAGTTCCAAGACAGCCAGGGCTACACAGAGAAACCCTGTCATGAAAAAAAAAAACAACAACAAAAAACACAATAACAGCAAAAAAAAAAAATAGTTCAACCCAATGTCTGTGCTAATGTGGAGCAGGAGTATGCTTGTGCCGTCCCTAAAGCTGTGGAATAGCTGTCAGACCAGGGTGAGTGGGAAGGAGGCAAGAGCCCAAGTCCAACCTCAGCAGGATCAGATGGTCCCTTTATTTGGAAGAATGAGTACAGCAATCTCTCTGTGGGAGTGGAGGCTGTGCACCGTGGCACAGGGGCTGGGGGCTGTGCAGAGTTTGAAGGGGGAGTGCTTACCAGGTGGGGAGTCCAGTGGGAAACATACTGGCTTTGGTTCCAGCTCCGCAGTTTCAGAAGAGTAGCGTTTGTGTTGACCAATATCCCTGGAGTCCTCATGAGCCATCTGAATGTTTGCAGCAGGCTGTAGCCCTGCCTTAAATAAAATTGACTATGTCACGTGGATTGCCGATGTTAGATTGGGAGTGGACCAGGATGACAGGAATAACAGCACAACTCTGACTTTGACAGAAGACTACCCTGTAGACCAGGCTGGCATCAAACTCAGAGATCTGCCTGGCTCTGCCTCCCGAGTGCTGGATTCAAGGCACGTGCCACCACTACCTGGCTGAGAGTTTGCATTCTTTGCTATAACAGAATAGAGAAAAGTTTTAGAATTGAGTGCTGTGGGATAATCCTTCTGTGCACTGTGAATATGTGTCACTCTCATTGGTTGATAATCAAAGCTGATTTGGTCTATAGCCAATCAGAATAAGGCTGGGTGGGAAAGCTAAATGGAGATACTGGGAGAAGGTAGGGCAGAGTCAGAGGAGACAAGCCAGCCGCTGGAGAAGCAAGATGCCTGCAGACTAGTAAAGTCACAGCTCTGTGGCAATACCTACATGAACAGGAATTGGTTCATTTAAATGTAAGAGCTAGTTAGTAATAAGCCTGAATTATAGGTCAAACATTCTGTAATTAATATTAAGCTTCTGGGTGGTTATTTAGAAGTGGTTGTGGGACAAGACGTGACAGAGAAACCTCCATTTACAATGGAGGATCAGAAAATAAGGGCCAATGTCATCATAATGATGGGGTCCAATAAGGGGTATCAGTCAGGATCTGTAGGTGCCCCACAAACCTCTCCAGCCCGAAGGGGATATTCTAGCTCAAGATTTTATTCCCTCTTGCAGCTGTCTGGTGTTATCCCATGACACTGGAGAGCTTTATGTAAAAGCAGCACCTTACCCGATCAACACGTTCCTCCTTTTTGTGCTGTTATAGGAGCTAATCCTTTATTGGTTTGCAACACCATGGCTCCCCAAGGAATCTCACTTCGTTTGGAGTTTCTCAGTACTGTCTTCGGTGAGAGCAAGATCACATTCATTGGGTAAGTTGATTGTGCTTTACTTATTGGAATCCGACGAACACCCTTTCCAGTCCCATGGTTCCTGCCATTGTCGTGCCGATCAAAGTGGGAATAGCATCAGCTCAAGTGGGAGTAGGCTGGACTTATTTCATTCCCAGGGATGACTCTGAGACCAGGGACTAGGTGTACTACCTGACACGGTGGCTGGTTGGTGGGATACAAGAGGAGATGCCAGTGGGGCGCGTGAAATGGTCCGGATGTACTAACCAAAATAAAAATGTTACAAACAAAACACAAACCGAAATAACTGATAAAGGCACGAATCAAAGCTGTCCTGCTATGTCTGAAATAACCGCTACGTTCTGTCGAAACAGTTGCTCCATCTCTTCTGTCCCTCATCTAAGATGGGTGTAAATATTATCTGTTTGAACTTTGCCTTTAAAAGCTGCCGTTCTCTTGAGCTTTGGCACCAAGAGTCTTTCTGAGGCACTAGCCTGCTCTTGATTGCCAGGCAAAAAAAATTCTTAATTGGCTTAGTGTTATAGCACAGTTATGAAGGTACACCCTAAAATGCAAAAGGCTTGTGATCTGACTGTTTCTCTGGTTATTATTGGGGGAATTATCTTCTAGATGCTTCAAGAATGTGTGCGTGTGTGTGTGTGTGTGTGTGTGTGTGTGTGTGTGTGTGCTTAAAACACCCTGAGAGGCTCAGGGCTACAATGGAATCCCCAATGTCCAGTGTAGAATACCCAGTGTAGTTGCCCATTGGCTAATAACGACTTCCTATTGCAGTGGTTCTCAAACTTTCTAATTCTGTGACCCTTAATACAGTTCTTCATGTGACCCCAGATATAAAATTATTTTTATTGCTACTTCATAACTATAACTTTGCTACTATGATTAATCATAGTGTAAATAGCCAATACCGGCTATTTCATAAGCAACTTCTGTGAAATAGTAGTTCAACCTCCTCTACAGGGGTCACAACCCACAAGTTGAGAACTGTTTCTGGGTCCTAACGGCTCCTTTGGGGGAGGGGGTGAGAAGGTGCGGCCTCAAGGGCATCAAGTTCGGGAGTCAGGTGAAAGGCAAGCAGCAGACTTGTTTATTCGGTAACTGGGAACACTTATATAACCTCCTCCCAGCACCCAAGCTGTGTTCTGATTCGTTGACATCACATGATCACCCTTCATTGGCACGATCAGGACCTCTGACAGCACCTGTTGTTAGGCCCTCTGGTTGGCTCATTTCTCAGCCTTGTAGGCCTTATCTTCTTATATATCTATCCCCTTTTTTTATTTATTACATGGGTGCTGAGCGGGAGCCAGAGTACTTTGCTCAGGCCTTGTTGATTCTGCCTCAGGAGGGCTCAGCAACGGGACTGTGCCTGTCATAGACTGGCTGCGGAACAAGCTCACACCCACCATTGACTACCATCCCTTGAAAAGCATTCATTCTGGGAGAGCTGCCAGGGTTGGGGGACGAGGCAGTAGCCTTTTGAATTTCAGATAACCAGGCATGTATACCCTGCAGAGGACTGTGGGAGGGATGCCTGAGAGCCTTTACCACCTGAGGAGTCACCTCAGTTGCTGCCTGCTGCTGTTGAATACGCTGCAGGAGACATTTAAAAAGAATAAGGATTAACAATAAATACCACTCTGCCAGTTAAGGCATATGTGAGCATCCAGAAGGATCAATGTCCTTTTTATAATTGTTTTTATTGAGCTATATATTTTTCTCTGTTCCCCTTCCTTCCTCTCCCCTCTCCTTCTACCCACTCCCATGGTCCTCATGTTCCCAATTTACTCAGGAGATCTTGCCGTTTTTTATTTCCCATGTAGACTAGATCCATGTATGTCTCTCCTAGGGTCCTCTTTGTTGTCTAGTTCCCTGGGATTGTGATTTGTAGGCTGGTTTTTCTTTGCTTTATTTCTAAAAGCCACTTATGAGTGAGTACATATTATGTTTGTCTTTCTGGGTCTGGGTTACCTCACTCAATATGATATTTTCTAGATCCATCCATTTGCCTGCAAATTTCAAGATGTCATAATTTTTTTCCATTGTGTAGTACTCCATTGTGCAAATGTACCACATTTAATTTATCCATTCGGTTGAGGGGCATTTAGGTTGTTTTCAGGTTCTGGCTATGACAAACAACGCTTGCTGCTATGAACATAGCTGAGCTCATGTCCTTGTGGTATGATTGAGCATCCTTTGTGTATATATCCAAAAGTGGTATTGCTGGGTCTTGAGGTAGGTTGTCAAATAGCCTTTTTTATATTATGCCAAACTTTCTCAAAAAATGAAGAGTCAAAGGCCATAACCTCTCCCCTTTTCTGATCTAGTTGAAAAATAAGATCCTGTATGCTAGCTGTAATGAACAATATAGAAACTTAGCTGACCATGGGCCCTTAATATATTTAGCCAGCTCCTGGGGTGCTGAACTAACATCCCTCATCTCAAAAGGCATCATACAAAATGAGGGGAAGTGAGGACCACAAATGAGTCTCATCAAGGTAATTAAAGTGCAAATCTCTTTCTCTAATAACACATCAATTTGTTTGGGGGACAATTAGAGCAAGACAGGGGAGGAGGTACATCAGCTATCCTGCGTTATTCCTTCCTTGGTGGCAGCAGACAGCTCTTAATGGGACCCATATTGGCGTCTTGGCAGTCTGAGGAAATACACAAGCATCCCTTCACCCACAGGTTAGCAGGCAAAGCAGGCTATGGTCTGCAGTCCTTTGCCTAATGAAATCCCTTATTGCAGCCGGGGCATCGGGTCCTAGGTTTTGCCTCAGGTGGCCTGGTTTGCTGCACCCCCCAGCAAGATCTATCAACTTGGGGGCCCTTGGGTGTGTCATCAGCAGGCTGCCTGTCTGCAAAGAGGGCATCCAGGGAAGCAGTGAGGGCAGCAATGGGACTATTACTGAGATCAAGATCTCTTGTGGCTGCACCCACTTGTGAATGTCTTCATTGCGGGTGGGGGCATTAAGCCCTTCCCAAACCAATTGTTTGATTATCATTTCCCTAATGGGGCCCCGTTCTCCTCTCTACTCCATCGCCTCATGGACACATGCGAGAAAATCAGTAAAAATTTCCCCTGGCTGTACAGACTAGCGACTGTAGCATCTTCTTCCCACATATTTACAGCCTGAGACTGCGCTTCTACAAGACCAGCTAACCCCTCCCCTGTGCTGTACCTAATAACCCCACAGAGCTTCTGGCTTCCTGGCAGTGGTAGCATTAGAAAACTCCACCGGCCCCCAGTGTCACTGTACGTGTGTCTGTGTGTCTGTTTTTTCTTCATTCCCTCACTTCCCCTAGCCAGGGATCCAGAACCCAAGCCCAATGGGAGACGGTACCTGAAATTAAACCAAATATCAGTGTGCATGAGCCCCGCACAGTTACACAAAGCTGATCCGGTTGCCTTTGGGCCAGGAGTGAAGCTTTTTCATGAGAAAGGGAAAGGGGGCTTCAATAACCGCCTAGAACCTGTAACTGATATTCCTGATCCCTTATAATCCAAGCTCAGGGCATCCAAGAGGCATTTGCAGGAACTGAATCTTTAAACCATGCCTTTTTCAGAGAGCTAGCAACACGAGAGGATGGTGGACGGGCATCCTAAGCTGTCTTCCCCTCATCTGCAGCCATCAGATGATACAGGGATGGGGAACCAAAGGCTCATCTTGTCCTCTGGCCAGGGCATTGCCTGGTCTCTCAGACTCTATGTTTCCCTCACTACTTTTGCTCTGTGCAGCAGGGCAGGGTTCACATACACCAAAGTCACTGAGTCCTGCATTCCCCAGGTCAGTGTGTGGGTGATGAGATTTAAGGTTAACTCAGAGGCAACGAGCCAACAGAAGTCTATCCATGATGGGCTGCGCTGCGGGTGTGCAGATCCCTCTGGCAGAATGTAGGGCAAATGTCTCTGAAATAGAGGATATGAAATGTCTAGCAGAGTCCCATGCAAACCAACACCTGAAAATTGAGTCTTTGTTTACAGGTATAAAAGACTATCAGGAAAGTCAACACGTGAATCTGAAAAATATGTGGCAATCAGAGCCACAGACTCAAGAGTAATCACATATCAAAAAATTAAACAAAAATTAAAAAATAAACGTGAACAGCCAATAACCAATGACAATTTAGGGAAAAATATCAAATGGTAATATTTGATATTGAAAATACTTTAATCAATTTGGAAAAAAGTAAGCCAGGTGTAGTGGTGTATGCCTTTAACCCCAGCACTTGAGAGGCAGGTGAATATCTGCAAGATCAAGTCCAGCCTGGTCTACATTGTGAGTTCCAAGATAACCAGAGCTATATAGTGACAACTGGTCTCAAAAATAAAAAAGGATTAAGATAAATTTAGAATTTTTGAAATATTAAAATGTAAGAAATAATGAAAAAAAGTTAAGGCATAGAAAACTACAAAGTACATTTGTTATGCCCAGTCCATGAGGACACAAAAAGATCACCAGGGAGACCGACTCACTGAAATGCAAAGGCAAGATTTATTATGTGTACAATACAAGTCAGCAAGGACCTCCTCAAAGCAACGGGCACAGCAGCAGCAAGAGGAGGTGCCCCGCCCTTCTAGAGGGCATTATTTAAAGGTAAAACCCAAAAAAGTTACCTTGGCAGGGTGTGGGGTGACGGGTTCAGACCTGATTGTTTCGTATCTAGGGATTTTTCAAAAGTTTTATTTTTGAACCTCGCCTGTTGCTTGTCAAGTTTCCTTATTGGCTGACCTTCGTGTGGTGACATTCCGTGATTATCTGTACTCTCCAGATGGCTCCCCTGTTACTATTGCCCCTAGCCATTTCTGAGGACCGGAATGTGTTATGGGAAATAGCTTACACGAGACACAAGAAGGAGGCAGAGGACAAAATGGAGGAACTTTGGGTCTTCACACTGTTGTGCACTATTAGATTAAGATGTGTTACATTCATTTATGCCGTAGAACATTTGTTTGATCGTGCAAAGGTGTGCTGCGTTCTTTTACGTGGCACTTGTTTAACTCTGTAAGGCTGTGTTACTTTCCTCGGCCTCAAACACTTGATTGGTCTAATAAAGAGTTGAAGAGCCAATCAGCAGGAGAGAGAAATAGGTGGGGGTATCAGGCAGAGGGAATAAATGGGAAGAGAAATCTAGGCTATAAAAGGACAAGAAAGGGGAGTAGCAACAAAAGGAGGAGAGGAGGGCACAAGGGACAGCCACCCTCCACACAACCAGTCATGGAATAAGAAGGAAAGAAAGATATATAGATTAAAGAAAGGTAAAAAGCTCAGAGGCAAAACATAGTTAAAGTTAATTAAGGTAGAAAAGCTGGCTAGAAACAAGCCAAGACAAGGCCAGGCACTCATAAGTAAGAGTAAGTCTCTCTGTATTTATTTGGGAGCTGGGTGTTGCACCCCCCCCCAAAAAAAAACCTACAGAACATTCTGTTTCACTAGGGAGAAAAGGTAGTTTCAGGCAGACAAAAGTACTATTGTGGGGTATTCACCAAAGAAGTTTTAAGCCAATAGAAAGTTTTTATAGCTGGCCAGCATCTACACTGGTTGTTCAGGACCCCAGTGTAGCTGGGAGACTTTCCCAGGGTGAGCCATTAAGCACAGAAACCATGCCCTGGGTTGACCTCAGTTAGCAAGAACAGTTAGTGGAACTACAGAGGCTAAAAAAATAAGGTTAGTACATTTAGACTTTCCTGGAACTATGGACTTTGAAGGATGAGATGTTTCTTTTCATTTTGGCAGGTGGTGGTGTTTACGTGCTGAGTTTTATGTCCTGAATGGCACTTCCATCAGAGAGTCCACTGTGAAGGTGCCTACAAAGGTCTGCCATTGGGTGGAGGTGCTGTTCCACAGTTAGGGTCACTCAGTACCAAGTGCATAGGGCAAAAGCACAGTCAAACAGGTCTACATAGTCTACATAGAAAGTTCCAGGACAGACAGGTGTAGGACCCAGCAATGACCGAGCTCAACAGAGGCCCTAGTCTCAGAAGTCTAAGGCAATTCCTGGTTCCAAGAAAGACCACACACCCAGGCACCACCCAGGAACAGATCATCCACAGGAAATTCCTAATGTTTCAACCATTGTAGATAGGACCACTTGACGTCCCTTGGACTAGCACACACCCATCACTTTCCCCCAGGACATCCCTAGAGAAATGTCAGCCAATCAGGCTTGCTGAACCTTAGAAATACCTAACCCCAATCTCTGCTATTATAAAAACCTCATCCCAACTAATGTCAGGGCTCTCCTACCACACCAATGCATTGGACCCACAGATAGTCCGAGTTCAAACTTAAATAAGAAGAAAGGCTCTTTGCTTTTACATACAGGACTCAGTCTCCTTGTTGGTTTTTGGGGGACTCCTTGATCTGGGCATAACACCAGGGCTACAAAGTGAGACACTATCTTTAAAAAAAAAATCAGGATGAGAGGAAACAGTCAAAATACAGGCGATCGAGCAAAGCTTCTGAATACTTTTTGCACTCAGAGGCATGTGGTCCGGGTCGTGGTGTTACGCATCTGTAAGAAAGAAAAAAAAAATGCAAGGAGAAAAGAAAGAAGCAGATGGTTCTAAGAACAAGGACTTTCTCTCTCTCTCTCTCTCTCTCTCTCTCTCTCTCTCTCACACACACACACACACACACACAAATGTAACTTGAGCAACAAGAAGACAGGTGGGCCATGATTATAATAATGTCCAGTGAGTTCCCGAATTTCAAGCAAATCCTTGCATGAGGAGGTCGTTTTGGGAAAGTTCTGTAGTTTGTCACTGGAGTCAAGCGATCCTGTTCCCGTGTGAACACTGTCCTCTCTTGACTCTGCGTGTCACCTCAGCTTCTCACGGCACTCCTATTAAACTGGATTTTAATTAATTAACGCTTGGGTTATTTTTTTTTTCTTTTCCGAGATACTGTATCATTATATAGCCCTGGCTGTCCTGGAACTCACACTGTAGATCAACCTGGACTCCAATTCAGAGATCCACCTGCACCCCAACACAGAGGTAACTCAAGACCAAGGATGGCTCCTCCCACTAGGACTTCTCAAGGCTCCCAAACTGTACTCCTTTATTAATTTTTCCTTTCATTCTTTCTCTCGTTTTCTTTTTCCTTGCTCCTCCTCCTCTCTCTCTCTCTCTCTCTCTCTCTCTCTCTCTCTCTCTCTCTCTCTTTTAATAGTTAAGTGGTCTTCAGTATTCTTTTTCTTAACTTATTTTACACATATGATTTTCGTGTTACCACCAATCATTCACCCAACTTTCACAACACCAGGTAAGAGTGTATAGAGGCCAAACCCTCCAGTCTGGCTCAGCCTCACAATTACTCTGACCTCAGCCGCCCAACTGTGTCCTTGTCTTGTCTGAGGCTTGAGACCGACCAGAGCAGCTCCACAGCAGGCCAGGCTACACTCCAGACTCTCTCCAAGGCCTCCTGTTCCAGCTCCAGTCCTGGCATAATGGCAACGCTGAGCCTGGAGCCCGCGGGCCGCAGCTGCTGGGACGAGCCGCTGAGCATCGCCGTGCGCGGCCTGGCCCCCGAGCAGCCCGTCACGCTGCGCGCCGCCCTGCGCGACGAGAAAGGCGCGCTCTTCCGCTCCCACGCGCGCTACCGCGCCGACCCCCACGGCGAGCTGGACCTGGCGCGCGCGCCCGCGCTGGGCGGCAGCTTCGCGGGGCTCGAGCCCATGGGGCTGCTCTGGGCCATGGAGCCCGATCGGCCTTTCTGGCGCCTGATCAAGCGCGACGTGCAGACGCCCTTCGTGGTGGAGCTGGAGGTGCTGGACGGCCACGAGCCCGACGGCGGGCGGCTGCTGGCGCGGGCGGTGCACGAGCGTCACTTCATGGCTCCCGGGGTGCGGCGCGTGCCCGTGCGCGAGGGCCGTGTGCGCGCCACGCTCTTCCTGCCTCCAGGTGAGCAGCCCTCCCTCGGGGAGCCAGGTGCAGCTCCTGAGCCTTTCTTCCCTGTCTACCATTTGTCTCTGGGCTTTCTCCTTTTCTTACTTTTGTATATCTTACTTTCACTCTTACTCTGTGGGTGGCCATGTGACTCCCTCAAAGTCCTCTTCTCCTACTTCTTGCTCCTTGATTATCTTCCCAGAATTGTCCTCCTATTTATTCTCTCTGCCTGCCAACCCTGCCTAGCCTTTCTCCTGCCTCACTATAGGCCTTTCAGCTCTTTATTAGAGCATCAGGTGTTCACAGGGTTAAAGAAATGTAACATAAAAGAATGCAACACATCTTTGCACAATTAGAACAAATGTTCACTACATACAAATGTAGCACATCTTAAAATAATATTCCACAACAATCCCTAGTGTGGTAGGTTTTGATGGCCCCAATATTGCTGCAGCAGGTGGAAGGAATGTGAACAGCTCTGGCAAACAGCCTTAAAATAGAATAGCTACGTATTTATGCAGTAGCACGAATAACTCCATCAGCACTAAAGGGTCGCCGATAAGAGATTACCATGATGACTATCCTTGACTTCCTCATGGGCATCTGTGTTTCCTTCCAATTCTAATAATCCGGTGTGGTAGTTTGAATGTAATTGGCCCCGTAATCCCTTAGGGAGCGGCACTATTAGGAGGTGTGGCAATTTTGGAGTGGGTCTGGTCTTATTGGAAGAAGTGTATCACTGTGGGGTTGGATTTTGAAGTTCCCAGTGCTCAGGATACTGCCTAGTATCTCAGTCCACTTCCTGTTGCCTGCAAGATGTTGTAGCACATCTCAGTTGCTGTGGTGGCACATGTGCTTAATCCCGCATGCAAGAAGCTGGCAGATCTCTGTAAATTCAAGGGCCAGCTTGGTCTACAGAGTTAGTTTTAGGACAGACAAAGATACACAGAGAAACTATGTTTCCGTGGTGGAGGGGAGGGGAAATGTTGTAGCACAGCTCACCTCAGCTTGCTGCCTGCACGCCACCATGCTCCCCGTCATAATGATAATGGATTGAGCCTCTGAAACTGTAAAGGAGCCACCCAATTAAATGTTTTCTTTTTAGGAGTTGCCATGGCCACAGTGTCTCTTCATAGCAGTAGAAACTCTAACTAAGACAGGCGCCTACCTGAAAATTACAAGATTTGAACTGGAGAGATAGCTTAGTGGTTAAAAGCATATGTTGCTCTTGAAGGGACTATGAGTTCAATTCCCAGCACCCACGTGGCAGTTCACAACTATCTGTAACTCCAGTTATCGGTATCTGACTATCTCTTCTGGCATCCTTGGATTCCAGGCACACAAGTACTATACATAAGCATGCAAGCAAAACATTATTTCACATAAGAAAGCTNACCTTTAAATAATGTTATAAAAAATTACAAGACTTGGGACAGAATTTACAGACATTACATAAGATGTAGAATTCCTTTAAAGATTTTTTTACAGGTTTACCAATGGAGGACTTTCATTTCATAATAGCTGAGAGATCAAATGATCATATTTTTACTACAGGCATCAAAAACAGATTTGGGGTGATTTATGTAAGAACATATTTACAGGTCATAGATGTGAGAAAACAATCGATAAGGATATCAGAAAATAGTAAACTACCTCTCCCTCTTCTGTCACTCAGAAGCTATGGGCCCCTCTGTTGTGATATCCAATGAGGTCTTCTCTGAGTAGGAGAGGAGGTTTGGATTCCTTTAACTTCTCTTCCTTGCTCCCATTTGAATGGGATGAAATTTTTTTCCCAAATGAAAAAACAAATTCTTGAATTCATTTGAGGACTACTGGCTTTGTTTTTTGTTTTTCCTAAGAAAATGGACCCTTTCCTGGGATCATAGACATATTTGGAGTTGGAGGTGGCCTTCTGGAGTATCGAGCAAGTCTGCTGGCTGGGAAGGGCTTTGCTGTCATGGCTCTGGCTTATTATAACTACGATGACCTCCCCAAGAGCATGCGCATCATCCACCTGGAGTACTTTGAGGAAGCTGTGAACTACCTGCTCAGTCAACCTCAGGTTGGTTGTTATTTTTGTCTTTTGGTTTAGAAAATATGGTTCTAAAACATCCACCCTCCAAGATAAAATTTTCAACTCAGTTCCTGAGGTGTTGTGAGACAATCAAATCTTCATTTTCAAAGTAGAAATCAAAGTAAATTTGTGAAGTGGGTGATATTTCAGGGCATTGATCTGGTCAGGCAGTCTGAGGATGAAATACATCAGATCAAAGCGAGGTCTTGTGGTATCCTAGAAAGGGAGCCTGCTGGGAAACGGGCACATTCAGCACATGGTGGAAGATACCAGGTTGAACAGGTGACTCAGCCATTAAGATCACTTGCTGCTCTTCCAGAGGACCAGAGCTGGGTTGCCAGCACCCAGGTCAAGTGGCTTCTAATTGCCTGTTCTTCCAGCTCCAGGAAGTAGGAGTCAATCTTCTGGCTTCTGAGTGTAGCTGTGCACACACAGACAAAGTCAGGGAAGCAC